CGGCGTGCTCCGTCCCGGCTTTGTAGGGATGCGAGGTCAATGGTCTAACGACTACGGCATGCACGACTATGAGTACACCCCCCCCTCCCCCCCCTCCCAACCGCCTGGGTTGTCAGGTCACCGGAACGACGGAGAAGCCCGAAGTAGGCGCGGCCGGGGCGGCCGGCGGAGGCGGCGGCGGGGAGGGGTCGACAGCACCGCGGCTCTTTGGCTCCGAGCTTCTCTACGAACACCCGGAGATTCTCCTAGCTGTGGTACGTGTGCGCATACGAGGGGGGTGGGGGTGGGGGGAGCGGTGCATGCCATGCCCGAGTAGAACGAGGCGTTTTGTTTGACCGGGGGGGGGACTGAGATTAATCGGTTTCGCCATGAAGCAAAAATGGAGACTGTTTCTTTTCTGCACGTTATACATTGTAGAGGAAATATGGAGGCTCTGGCGAGGAAGAAGGTTGTGGTTCGAGGGCGAATGCGGAGCGGTACGAAAGACGTGGTAGCCGTTCCCCACTTGTTTCGGCCGCAAGAAGGTTTTCTTCCTTTCCTCCCCTTGGTCGGGCGTTTCCAAGGCCGCTTGCTTCTTGTTGGCCAGAGGGGGTGTGAGTGAAGCAGTATCCATAGCCAAAGCAAGAAAACCATCCTTGCCTGCATGCCACTCCAGATGGCACCCCCCCGGCGCTAACCTGCGTGCCCCCCCCCCCCCCCCCCCCCCCCCCCCCCCCCCCCCCCCCCCCCCCCCCNCTCGTCTTCCATCCCACAATCCGACTCGCGCGCTGCACGAATACCCCCCGAAACGGCGCGCGCGCGTGGCGCGACTAATTGAACGCTCAAAATTGCGACGACGACGTTATGATAATGATCGAAGAGTGATACGCCCGAGGACCCGACCTTGCAGCCCCCTCGTCCCGCGAAGCCGGCGACGCCGACGACGACGCCGGGGTCTTCGCCGGGGGGGTCCGGGAAGAGGTCGTCGTCCGCGGCGGGAGGGGGGGCGCAAAAGAAGCAGCAGCAGCAGCAGCAGAAGCAGAAGCAGCAGGCTGCCCGGGGGGGGGGCAGCGTTGGAGGCGGGGGCGGGGGCGGCAGAGGGCAGCAGCGGCAGCAGGTGCGATTCGGTACGGTGCGTTGGGGTGCGACACTCGCTGTTCCATGATTCGACGGGGCACTGTATGGTGACCGGACACGCTTCAACGTCTTCTACTACAATATGCTGTTAGGAAACAACCGTGATTTTTTTAACCAAACACGTTGTTGTTGCCGCGTTCAAACACCCTGCGCAAACATGCCGCCCTCCCCCCCGCTTCTTATATCCGTCGATTACGTTTGGCCACAAGCCCGAGTGTTGAGAGGGAGTGCCGTCCCCACTGTGGACCACGCCGACCACGTTCTCGCTATGGTTGGTGCGAAGTCAAGTGCCTGAGGCAACTGGGAGGGGAGTAACTCCCCCCCCGTGGCGTATCGCTCTGTCATGGCGTTGTAGGGGTGCGAGGTCAAAGGTCTAACGACTGGCATTCGTATGAATACACTCCCCCCTTGCCATTGCACAAGATGGTTCGCGTTGACCGTTGCGCACCCCTGGGTCGCTGCTGTTGATCAGGTGATGTTTCCGAGCGTCGGGGCGCCGGCTGCGATGCCTTCCCTGGGCGAGGGCGTCGGGCTAGACCCTGATGACGCTTCGGCGGTGATGGAAGACATGAACGACGCCGAGGATGTGGTGGGTTGCGGATACTCCTACATTCCTGTGATAAGACGTATTTTTTTTTTTCTCGGTGTCTTTGTTTTAGCATCGACCGCGCCAACTGACTAACCAATGAAAAGACGCCAGTCTAGGCGGTTCTTCTCGTCACAAGTATAACAAACCAACATCATCTGTATCCATTGATGGATAAATTGTTTTGTGTTTCTTCAGAACGTCGTCGACTGCATGGGGCCGTGTATGCCCCCCCCCCATTTGTAACTGTAGCGAGAGCCGGGTGTAGGGGGGAGAGAGCGTTTTGTCGACCCTCCACGCTTGTCAGGAGACAGACCCGGATGCAGTCTTTGTTTTTTTTTCGATTCGCGCATGCACAACATGCACATGCACGTAAAGATGGTAGGCATGGTTAGTTGTCGTTGTCGTTGCCGCTGTTTCGCCTAGTTGTCAAGTATGGCCGTCAACCGTCTTGACCGTCTACAATGACATCGCCTAATTTCGAGATGCCCGGGCACGGATGGTCTAGATGAAGACAAGGAATTTTTGACGACACGGATTGATTGAATAATCCCTGACGGCATGGATGAGCACTACAAGGCAGAGCCAGCCCACCCACTTGGTTGTTAAGCGCTTGTTTGATTTGGTTCATGTTTCAAGCCCACGCCCCGTTTCGGGCAGAAATGCGGTCGCAACAGCCGGCCGTGCTAAATACTTGCATTTTTGTTGAGCACACACACACACACACACACCACCCCCCCCCGGGCAGTGCACGCACCGTCTCCCCCCTCCGTCCGCCTGCAATCCTCTCGATCTTACGCTTCGTGCCGTCTGCCTGTCTTCTCGACGGCGCCCTTCTTCTGCTGCTTACCCTGCTTGGCGGGAAAACGAAAACTCCTGGAAACCTTCCTTGGCTGGTGCGTGTGCATCTGGTCGTTGCTGGGGAAAAAAACGGCGTCAGCTGGGAGTCGAAGACATTTTCTCGGGCATGTAGGGGAGCGAGCGAGCGGGGGAGTCTGGCGCATCGATTCTGCTGCCGCCGCTGTGTGGTGGTGTTGGCCGATTTAGCCGAGCTGACGACGGACGTTCTACGGTCTACAACGAACGCAAGCCGTCACTTTGAAGCTAGTTCGTTGCTGGCTTAAATGATGCCGCACAACATCAAGAGTAACACATCGTCTCAGAGGGGCTCTTTGTGCGTCGGGGCTCGCGCGTGCACGATCGGGTGAACGTGTGTGCTTTTATTACTAGCACCGACCGCGCTATGCGGCTGACCGGTGAATAGACGCCAGTCTCAGTGCGGTTGAAAATACGCAACACTTCTAATGCCGTTAATTGGGACCCCGTCAGTTGTGTGTGTGTGTGTTTTTTTTTACTGTTGGCATCGACGGCGCTAACCGATTGCCCAATGAAAGGACGTCAGTCTTGAAGCGGGAAAAATAACGCGAACACGCTTTAAAAACAAACGGTTTTACCGACACAAGACGGGGCGCAGGAATTCGCACGCAAGTTTTAGTTGTTTTCATCGACCACGTTAACCGGCAGACAAGTGAAAGGACGTCAGTCCTGTGTGCGTGTGAGCGCTCAGCATGTGTTCACGACAACTCATCCACAATTGAGCAACGAACGGTGGTGATAGCGTGCACCCAGAAGGGCATGCACCAGACGCAAGCAACGTAAAGTAACGGCTCGTTGTCGACAGTCGACGAATCGACCAACACGCCGACCATGTGCAACACGACGTGGGAACACGCTGCAGCGGCCGCCCAGTTGCTGCGCAACCGAGCACACACCTCTGAAATTTCGTCCGGGTGGCCCCGTTCAAGACCTCCCCCTGCACGAGTGTGCAGCAGTTCGTTGTTGTGCGCGTTTTTAGTCCCGTCTGTTTTGAGTGCCAGCCTACGCACCCATCACCCATCAGTGAAGGCGTGTGCTTGAAGCACCAGCCGATCGGTCACCCAACAGCGTCTGCCTTATGTTGGCCTCTCTCGGTAGGGGCTAGAACATGATTGATTCCGGCCATGCACTGAGAGCGTGTTCTGCTGTGCGGCGCAGTACAGCAAGGAAGCGAGGCTCACTGGCAAGTGAGGAGCATTTTTCATTCGGCTTAAAAATGGCAGGTACCTTGTGTCTATCTAAAAGCTAAATACGTACTCCCTTCTTACGGCCGACCGCAGTCGACACGAGAACGATACCTATACCGCAATTGGCTTATTCTAAAGGTCAAAACCACCACCACCGAGAATGAAATGTTCGACTTGATCGCTACAAATTTAACTCTCTACAGCAATTCAACCACAAAACGCAAACATGCTTGATTGATTGCTACAGGATTGAATTGCTACACGGTGCCACTTCCTGGAGAAGCCTGCCGACCCCCACTAAATGTCACATCATCAACGTAGATATCAGCGGTGGTACAGAAGCAGTCTACAAAACGCAAATGCCCCATGGATTGTATTGATTGAATTGCTACAAGCAGTTCCACTTCCTATAGAACCCCGAAGCCCGCCGCCGCCTCCACCAAATGTCACATCATCATCACCGCAGAGGTCGAGTAGTAGCACGCAGAAAATGCCCACAAGAATGGCATTCGTCAAGCTGCCGCATCTTCTCATGACGCGGATGCACAGCAGGCGCGGAACTGATTTCCCCATCCCCTATTTCCTGTCCACCGACACAAGAAAAACGCCCCCCCACCCCCCCCC